ACGATACAACCACATACTTGATTAAAGTGGCAGTGGAAGATAGAGACAAGGAGGGAGCAGTGGGACCCTTGGCATTATTAACCCTAATGGTTCACTGGTTTTTTGCCTTAGCAAGTTACAAATGCTGCTTTGTTATGCACTTGAAACAGAGTGGTCATTTCCATATCAGAGTAAAGCGCTTACATGATCAATTTCTAATGTATTTAACCTCAAATTAAAAAACAAATGAACAAAACCCAAACCAAACCAAAACCAAACAAACAAGCAAAACCCCAGGCTCTTAAATACTAATTGCTCATGAAGAGCAAAGTTTCTGAAACTCATGTGCCAGTGGAGCTTACCTCGTTCAATATCATCCATAGGAGAAGATGGAAACATTTTTTCTTTTGATGGAGAGTTTTTAACGTTGTTTGGAACCTTGGTTGCATTTCGCATTTGCTGCTGTTGCTGCTCAATGCGAGACTGGACTTTACTGCTTCCTTCAGCTCTGTGTGTAAAAGGAAAAGATTTCTAATTGCTAGAAGACAAGATGCAAGGAAAAAGGCAGAATACAGGGGATATGGTACAAGGGAAATATTTCTCATTCCTTTCTAAATACTATAATTGGATTCTTAGGTAAGTTATTATACTGGCATAATATTGTTTATAAATGTGTTAAAATTTGGTTTACCCCAACATTTTTTGATACAGTGCTAATAACTTTATAACACTTTATCAGTTGATTTGTTTTTATACCTGGCTGCCCAGGATCACTTAATAATATTCTGCTGGAAGTTATTTATATGGACTCAGCAGCAGGAAAAAAAAAAAAAAAAATCTTGGTATGAGAAAAACAAGCCATTGAAATTACTGAAGCCTGTCACAGAATTTATCTTTTTTTATTATTTCCTAATTTACAAGTCAGAAGACAGCAGGCAAACTACTGATTTTATTTCTCCCTCCAAACTCATCAGAAAACAGTTACTATTTCTCTCAATAATGTAACAGGTTTTGGTTAACAAAAAAACAAATTCCCATTTCTTTTGCAGTCAAGATTCGAAAGCTGTGAAGTCAGTGTGCTGAGAGAGCAGGCTTTTCACTCCTTTGAACAAGGCCAGGTACTTTCTAAAATTATGTTTTGCTAAAAATAGTAATGGGTAGTTCTCTCAATTTAGGCCCATTAACAAATCGATTTTCACAGTGATTAAAGCACAATTGTTTCTCTTGTAAATCACCCACCTGGTTTTTTTCACAGTGATGTTGCTACTAAGTTTCTCTAGGCGACATTCTCCAGTGTCATGGTTGATAATTAAGATACATTCTTTTAGGTAAGGCTTCTTTGAGCCCTTGAATACAGTCACTGGTGGAGTTGAGCCCTATTAAATCAGAAGTCCAGTAAGTCTTTCTTCTTAGAAACAGCAATCCATCAGTCATGGTAAGTTCACTACAAGAGATCATTTCTAGCCTATAAAACTGTTACTGGTTCATTTAAATTAGATTCACAGTAGCCACGTCCAAAAGCAGGCGGTATTTGACTGGAATGGGATTTCACTCGGCTTAGTTTGAAACTGATTAAATGCTTATTTCCCAAGGAGAGCAGGCTCCCTGTAGGACTCCTTTCACCAAAAGGGGTTTCAGTTCCCATATCAGCAGAGCAGTAAAGCATGGCAGGTAGTAAATTTTCCCTTTCCAGTCTTTCCTGCTTTAGAACTGCACTAGAGCAATAAATACCAAGGGGAAACTTGCACTGCCAACACACACACGAAGCTTTTCTGAGTACGCAACGCTTTGGGTCATCCGACAGCATATTTCCAATGTGGCCAATACACTTAAAGTTACAGTGCAGCTGCTTAACCTTTGGGTCTTCTGTAGTCTTACATTCCCAGAGCAATTGTTTTTCTACTCTGAAAATCACACAGGCAGCTCTGAAACGGCACTGAAACTTTATACCCTTCCATTTTCAGGATATATACTTATGACAACAAAATAAATCACTCCCTTAGGCCCACCATTCCTCAGCCACCCCACTCACCTCAATATTTGGCAGCGTTATTGTCACCTGTTCACCTTTGCCAACTTCAAGGTCTCCTTCACAGGACATATCGATAGATGCAGGCTTAAAGTCATCTAAATATAAAAACAAGATGGGATTATTTACAGGCTTCTCAGGCATCTTATAAATGTAGACACCATTTAATTGCAGTTGGAGTTAAAGCCTTTTAAGTTAAAGCCTTTTTTTGCTGGTGTATCACCTACTATTCCCCTGAGCCTCCTCCCCTGAGCAGATTGTTCCATAAGTCAGTACAATTCAAAGTCAAGCTGCTTTTCTCAAGATTCAGTATAAGTGTTAAAACCTTTTGGTTAAAATTAGGCAAATGATATTATGTTTTAATGGATAAAGAAGCTGAACAAGCTGTGACATATTTCAAAGGATAAATCCTCACATAATTATTTTCAGAAGAATCAATAAATAGTTCTTGAAAATGTTGATCCCAAACATGGGAGATGTAGAAAAGTGACTGACAATGCAAAGAACAATATCAATCCTCAATATCCATTTCTGACTTTATTACAACATGTATGTCAGAAGCTGGCCAAAACTTGGAGTTTCAGTATAGTTATTTTTGTCACAAGTGAAATTACTTCCTAATTTAACATTAGCTTCCCTTTGTCTTTTTCAACATCTAAAGTATTGGTTAAAGTAAGTTTTAAAGAGAAGAAGGTATCCATTTCCGATCCTTTTCAAAAACGTGAGACATGGAAAACAAGCAGCTCTGCCTCAGCACGGCAGCTCTGTTACATACCATTATCTACAAAGTATTATTTCCACCACAAATGAATTGGGAAGGGCTACAGTCAAAAGGCTGCCTGCGCTGATCTAGGGAGACGGGGTGGCAACAAGAAGCTCTACGAGGCGTGTGGTAACATCTGTGGGGTTGAACCCGCGGCTCCAGGCACCGCAGGGCCGGTGTCGCACCCCGGGATGCCGGTGCCCTGCCCCGCACACGGACCGAGGCGAGGAGGGCCCCCGCCAGCCGGCTCCCCGCTCCCCGCCCGTGGCTCGGCACACGCTCCTCGCCTCGCAACCTGCCCCGTCTGGCGCTGCTGGTCACCGGCGGCGGCACTCCCGCGGCTGGGGAGCTTCCCAGTTCCACAGCTCGGCCTGCAGCCACGGGCCAGGCGGCACAGACCGCAGCTGGGAAGCGCGGCTCCAGCCTGCACACCAGCCGGGCAGGAAAACCAGGCTGCAGGAGCTGGCGGGCAGGACCCTGCGCGCAGCAGGAGGCTCGGAGCTGGCACGCAGGTAACAGCCCCTGCTAACCTTCTGCAGGGCAAACCCCCACGTGTCGCCTCACAGGGACAATCGCTAAGCAGTTGCAAAGTTTCTCATCAAATCAGAGGATGTTTGCTTTATTTAGTACACGGCCACTGGACTGTTAATACCTGAGAAAATTAAGGTACTGATACTTCCGATCTTAACTTCTAACCAGCTGTTGTCCTCCCTTTTTTTTTGTTAACATAAAAGTCAGGTGTCCAAGGATATTTCTGCATGTGCTTTTGATAGAACTGGTGAACGTGCCAGTTTCTATGTCTCATTTGTTGGAAAGGAAGAGAGATTTCAAAACAGATTTCAGAACAAATCATCAAATTACAAGAGTCAGCAAGAAACTGTAGGGGTAGGAGGTACCAGATGTGGTGGTTAGTCCTCTTTAAAATTAGGGCAAATTTCAAGCTGCAGCATTTGTTTAAATCCATTTATAGCTTTCCCCCCCCTCACCTCCACTTCCACAGTCACAGACAATCCTCCCTAAATGCCGTTCCCTTTGCTCACAAGGAGCACATTGCCCCTCTCTCACACAGGACACTCTCCAGAGAACACACGCGGGACTGAATCTTGGGGATCAGTCTATAAATAACCAGACAACAAAACCAGAAGCAGCAGTCCTAAATTACCAGGACTATAATCCTGAGAGCATTTGTTTCCTAGCTACCCTCAGAATCTTTGAGCACACACCTCTCTAGATAGTAATTATGTACTCAGGGAGGGTGCACTGGCTCCGTGATTAACGCTGCCTGCCTGTAACCTTTGATTGCTGAATTGTACGGAACTTCTGAAAACTCGGCGCAAGGGAAGAGGGCTGAGCCAGAGCTTCAGCTCAGCTCGGCTTCCAGCAGAACCGCAGGGAGACACTATGGACAAGGCATGGAAAGCGAAGTCAGTGCCCAGAGGGTGGCGAGGGGCAGCTCAGCCATACAATGGCCGTTCGTGCTCCAGCACCGACTAAAAACTGCACCGCACCGATCCCGAAACCTCGGAGCAGCACCGCATGGCGCTCAGCTCCCGGCTGCACCCCAGAACCAAGGGATGAGGGCAGCCACCGGGCCGGCAAGGCCAGGCCAGGCCGCGGCCACCCCTGCCCCTCAGGGCACTGCGGGGACAAACAGCCGGGCCCCCTCCCCGGTCCCCTGAGGGGCTGCCCCAGCACTCACAGCGAACGGTGTGGAAGGCGCAGCGCGGCTGCTTCTCGAAGCTCTCTCCCAGGTTCAGCACCCGCGCCTTGGGGTCGTAGAGCGACGGGACCGCTCCGTTCATCGCGGCAGCGCCTCACACCATGGCGGGCCCCGGGGCCGCCGCCGCCGCCCGCACCGAGCATCCCTCACACCGCCGGGCCCGCAGGCCCCGCCCACCCCGCCTCCCATAGGCCGCCGCCGCCACAGCCCCGCCCTACCCGAGCTCGGATTGGACAGCGGGCGCGCCCCTCTGTAGATCTCCACCAATGGCGCTGCCGGCCGCACCGGCCCGCACGCGGATATGCAAATGACCCCCTCCTCCCTCAGCGGGGAGCGCTGGTTGGCGGAGAGTGGCCGCGACCACGCAGCTGTGCGCGGAGGGGGGCGCGGGGGAGCGGTTGCGTTGGAAACGGCGGCTCCGGCGTTCCGACTCCCCCCTTTCTCCCCCGCAGTGAGGGAGCCCCCGCGCGGCGGTGAGAGGGGCCGGGGGCGCGCGGGGGTCCCCTCAGAGCGCCCGAGGGGGCCCCGCGGTGCGGGCGCTTCGCGGCACCGGCGCCGCCGCTCCCGGGGGCCGGGGGGGCTCCCGGGGGGCGCCGGTGGGAGAGGGCATCTGTCCCTCGCTCTCTCGCCCCCTCCCTCTGCCGAGGCTGAGGTGCGGCCGCGCTCGGGGCCGCCCGGCCGGAGCCCCGGGCTGCCGGCAGAGCCGGTCCGGCCGCCCGCGGCCTGGGGAAGCAGCGCGGTCGGGTCTCCCTCCATGTTTGTTTCCTTCCCCAGGGGCAGACGGGCGGCCCGAGGCTTCCAGCCGGTGGTGCAGGAGCTGGAGGTGGGATGGAGGTAGTGGCGTGAGGACCCCGCGCCAGCACCGACACAATTAGGGAGAAAAGAGGCTGGAATCGCGGGTGGTGCGCGCCTGTGGTCGCTCCCCATGGCAGCTGCGGACCCCCAGGTCCTGGCCTTGGCTGCTCAGGTCACTGAGAGCGGGGAACAGGACATCCCCCTGCTGCTGCTGAAGTTAAAGGGTAATTAATGCCTTTCCTAAAATAAAAGGATGGTCTGCTGAGCTATGGACAGTCCTTCTCTCTTCTGCCTCCTTGAATACTGAAGGTTTTTCTGAACACTTCTGGCGTGGCTGGAGACTCTGTAAGGTTGACAATGCAGCTTTTCCTGAGAGTGGCATTGAGTGGCGTTTGACTTGGCAACAATAAAGAGGAGGAGCTGGGGAGAAAATGGACAGGAGTTTTTCCTGCCTCTCAGCTGTCACCTCGATGATGTGGGCCCTTGTCCTGCTGATACGGGCAGGGGTCAAATCATTTCTCCCAGTGCTTTTGGGCAGAGAGCCAGAGCGGTCCTCAGCATTCAGTGTTTAAGTCTTAAGACAGAAGCATAATCATGAGCTCCTGTGTGACTCCCCTGCCTTCTCTCCTGCCACACAGCCACTGCTCTTAGGAATGGCTGGAACAAGTCAGGTCCTGTTCTAAATTGGGATGTAATTATAAGGAAGCTATATGTTTCCCAGCGGTTGTGGTTTTATGTGGCCCAGGAAATTCATACAAATGGGCCATATCCCAGGTAATGTATGTTTTGCTACTAAATGTGTAGAGAGAAAATGGAAACCTAAGTTTAGCTATCCTTCCCAATTGTCATATAATCTTACAAATGGATTGTAGCTGTAGGAGCAAAAAATGCTGACAAAATACTTTATGAAGTTGCACTCTTACAATTACTTTAATCTGTGTGCATATACTCTCCATATGTTTTAGTAAAAGAAAAAAAAAAATCTTGTGCATCAGAATCTTATGCTTCTCTTTGTCTCTCTCCTGCTTTCTTCCCACAGGAATTTTAAGTAGCCCTTCCTTGGGATGTGAAGAATCAAAAAAAATTAAGCAAGATATATATGATTATGGTCTCACTCAGTACTGCTTGCTGGTCCTTAGGCAAGACCACTCTCGACTGCGGGGAGGCTGGGCCACTGCTGCCCAGCTAGCAGAGATACTAAGGTAAAAAAAAAAAAAAAAAAAGAGCTAAGAAGTTTTCCTCTAGTTTTCTTTCGGTCCTTTCATCTTGCTCTTTTTCTTTTCAAGCTGCAGTCATTGGCTCTCATCCAGAACAAGGCTCGTTGTTCAGAAAAGGCCAGGGTTAAAGTGCAGGGAGCAGTCAAGAGCGGAGGGGTCAGGCATAGCCTAATTAGTCCTGTTTAATTCATTTGCACTGTGTGTCATTGAGCTGGGTAAACTGTGTGGTGGGAACAGGGTTTGTGTTGGCTTTACCTTTTTTTTTTTTTTCTGTGGACAGTACTCATCAGTGCAACAGTTCTTATGCAGTAATTGCTGATTTTGAATTGTACTTATTTAAAAAGGTTTCTTTGCTTTGATTTCATCTTGAAAAAATCTTCAACCTGATTGACTCACAGCTTAGCTTGACTATATTGAAATGTCTATTTAATATAGCTATTTTAAGTACCTATTTACATTTTTAAATATAATGGATGACAGGGTTCATGTAAACTAGATAACCCCGTGTAGTGATGTTGTGAGGATGGTGCTCTTAAATTTAATTCATAGTTAGTAAATAAGAAAACTTTAAACTCAAATCCGCAGTGATCCAATCTCAATTTTAAATACCAGGAAAAATAATACATTTTCAATTTTTCCCAAGTTGTATGTGGTTCTGGCTTAACTAGGGAGCAAAATTCTAAGGCATGAAGTAATTAAGCAACCATCTCTTATTTATGCATATCTGCAGTATGAATTTTTAACGCGAGGAATTTCAGTAAGAGAATGCAAGATTTATCACCAGAGTAGTGTGATACTTAAATCATCCCCTGTAAACTATTTCAGTTTGCAGACAATACCAAAATTTATTCTAGCTGTAAAAATGTCCTTTTGTAACTGGATGAATCTTAGCTTCATGACTAGAATTTGCTTTCCAAGGGCCTTGGTAAACCAAGCTTTATATGTGTGCTTTCCTAAAAAACTGAGAAAACCTAGATAAAATGTCAGAAAGCAAAATTCATAAAAAATAAGGGAGACTCTTTTGTTGCACTGGTATCTGTGCCAAGTGCAGAATTGAAAACCTTCCCAGTTGTAAAACATGCAGTTTCTTGTAAAAAGTCTTCCAGAAACAACCAACGTGTTTGCGGTGAGTAAAATAAGAGCTGAGATCTGAGGAACTGATTTCTAGCCCACATGTCTTCCTCAGCTAGAAAAAAAGTTGTAGTCAGGCTTGCTGAAGGTTTTGTGATAAGTAATAGGGGGTTTTATATATATTTTCATTGCCTGATGTGTACCCCCTTCAGATCAGTCTTCCTTTATCAATTTTTTGTTTGTCTATCTGCTTTGCCTTTTTTTTTTTTTCTTTTTCTTCTTCATGACCATCAGAGCCCTTCCCTAGCATACAGAACAAGCCTGAACAGATCCTTTGAAGCCAAAGGAGAAAGTGCCTTGGTTATGTTTTAAACTGAGAAACACCATAATAAGTAGTAGGATGGTCTCCAGCCTGCCAGTGATTCCTCTTCCTTTGGAGGCAGCCACCTTGGAGCCAGTCACAGCAGTGAGCTGTTGTTCCGTGGTGAATTGTCCCATGCCAGTGAAGCATTTCTTCTCTGATGACGTGACATTCATTCAAAGCTGTTCAAACAGGCCTTTGACTATGCAGGTTGATGGTTTTTCTTTTTTTTTTTTTTTCCATTTCAGTCATTGTTGTGTAGGGCTAGAGATGAAAGAAGATCCTGAAGAATTTTACAAGAATTTTCTTCCTTCAGCTGTAGACAACCTGCTGGTCTTGGGAAAACGCTTGCAAGTGCGATTTGTCCGAGCAATCAAGGTATTTAAATTTCACAGTTAAAAGAGCAGAGAACCTCTGTAAACTTTCCAAGGTCACATATTGGATAAGCAGGATATTATTCTAGGGACACTGTATTATAAAAATATATTTTCCAGAAATCACAGTAGTTATTCTTATGTTTTGGACCTTTGAAACTGAAATCTGTCATGGGGTAGCATTTGGTCCGTGACTTGTGCAAAGCCTATGGTAACAAAGCCAAACTTTGTTACCATAGGACTGTTTAGAAAGTTCGGCTACTACTTTTCAGAAGTTTTAAAGGTAGAGGGAAGGATTGCAATTATAAACAGGATCGAAGAATGAGAGCAGTAGAAGAGGGGGAAAAAAAGCCTTACAAAGGCAGCATCCCAGTCACGGTAGTGTCTTAACTTTGCATATCGTTAGGTCAGCCTTTGTAACAACTCAGTTCCCACTGCTTTTATTCAGCTTTACAAAAAATGGTATAGGAAGTCTTAAGATTTTAAATCAGATTTGTTGAAGTTTGTTTTACGATACAATTTCTGCTGTAAAATTGGCAGAAAAATTCCAAGTATGCCCACTGCTTCTGATCTTACACATTGGGGATCCTAAAGGCAGACTTTGTGAATTTATAAATTTAAACACTCTCACATTTCTCTCCCCTCTTTGAAGAGAAGAAGGGTTTTGTCCAGTTAGGTTCCCTCATGCTTCTGAAGCATTCTGAGTTCTAGAATTAGAAGGAAAAAGCTCAACAAATGAAACCCATGAGTAATTTAAATAACCAACCTCATGGATTCTGACAGTTTCTTTTAATATCCCTGTTTCCCCATATTATCTCATTTTTTAGCCCATGGGCTCTTCTTGGACTTAGTCAAAGTTTTCCTACAAAGTATTCTGATAGACACCACAAACAATCAATTCTCAGAAAGCATCAGTAACATCTTTTCTGTTAGCCCAATACTTGAGAAGTGCATTTAGTGCTTAAGAAGGAAGCTTCCTGAAAGACATCCCAGGAGACTCAAGTCTTATCCGCAATATGTAATTTCCCCCACACTTTCTTATTATGTCTCAGCCTACATGCTACTTGAGTCATGCTTGTGGGCAAAGATTTCTTTTGAATGCAAATGCAGTCTTCATTATAATTAGTACTTTGTCTTTTAAACTTTGTGGTCTCAGAGGTGACTGGGCACCCAGACTTGGTGCTTGCTCAGTGGAATTTTGGAAATCCCACTGTACCAGTGGGGATTCGTAGTTTGTTCTGCCCTCATTTGCTTTTTGTACAAGTCTTTGAAGTCAAGGGAAGTACTGACATAGCTTTCAGAAACTGTCATGTTGCCAAAACACAGAACAGATAATATTACAGCTTAACTTATCACTGTTATTTTGTAGCTCTCGTTGTCAGTAACAAAGTTAAACCTTGACTGACGGCTGGGATTTACAGCACAGATCTAGGGACTAGGCTTTCCATGGTTTGATTTGTGGAGGCTCAAGTAACGTGGGAGATATCAGGCCATCTATTTCATAACAATATTTGTCAGCAATGTAGTACTATCAAAAGCTCCTTTGCTGTCCCCCCTGCCCCAAGATTCTAGATTTCCAGTGGCCTGTGGCTCACACCTGGAATACAGACTCTGGACTGTGCATCTGTATGTGCATTCACATGTTAAAACCTGAATTCCTTCTGGTCATGGCAGAGTGCTGGAGCACCTCTTCTGTGAAGAGAGGCTGAGAGAGATGGGAGGTTGTTCAGCGTGAAAAAGTCCCCGAGGAGACCTTATATCACCTCCCAGTACCTACAGGGGCTACAGGAAAGCTCGAGAGGGACTTTTTACAGGGGCATGTAGTGACAGGACAAGGGGTGATGGCTGTGACACAGGATGAGGGAGATTTGCATTAGATATTGGGAAGAAATTACGTACTGTCAGGGTGGTAAAACACTGGAACAAGTTGCCCAGAGAATCTGTGGATGCCAATCCCTGGGAGTGTTCAGGGCTGGGTTGGATGGGGCTCTGAGCAATCTGGTTTAGTGGAAGGTGTCCCAGCCCATGGCAAGGGAGTTGGAACTAGATGATCTTTAAGGTCCCTTCCATCCCAACCACTCTGTGATCGATTCTGTGTTTTTTTCCAGTCCAGTCCAGGCAGGCACATAATGTCTCTCTCTGTTTGGCAAAGGGATCAGATTTCAATTTAATAATGGTTTGGTGTTTGCTCCCAGATCTCCAACTATGAGGTGCTTCTGAAGCTTCACCAAACCAGTTTTTTGGGAACCTTTTCCATTTTAACTGAGTCCTTGGCCACTCTGTACCTTTTTTTCCCCTCTTCTTTAATCTTAAATGATGTATTTCCCATTTTGTGCGTTAAATCTGTGATGTAATTTTACTGAGCTATTGTTTGTCTTCTTATCCCTCCTATGCTATCAAATATTTTTGAAGAAGTAAACAAGACTTCTCTCTCTGTGTTATGAATTTTTCACAAATGGATGCTTTTACTTTTTTAGTAGTTAAGGTCTTATTGATTGATCTCTGACCTCAAAGAACTCACAACTTGGGTTTTTTTATGACTCATTCCTACAATTTCACTGTCCTCATTTGGGAATTTGGTGGAGTTTTGGTCTCCAGATTCCTGAGGCATACAAAGCTTCCCACTACATCAAACTGAAGTCCTTAGTGAAGATACATACACATGTTTTTACCTACTTCTCTTTTGTTTAGGATAAAGAAAAACAAGATTTTTTACACTGGTTCCAGACAGTAACCGATGCCATCTGCTGGCTGTTTGGTGGGCACATTCAACTAGCAGCGTGTGGTAAGGGAAATGTCAACCTATAAAACACCTGAACATTTATTTATGGCAACTACAGGTATCCAGAATCACTCTTAAGCTAATCTCCACCTAGTCTTCTAAATTGGAGCAGATGGTAGATTGATCCCTTAAAGTATTCAGCTCAACAGCAATATCTAAAATGGAAAAGATCCAGTAAAGGGAAATATTGAAGAGTTCCTCTTCTAGTCTTCCAGAGACAAACATGAGAAGTGTCTTCCTGTAATTTCCTATTGTAATTCTATACCCTTAAAATTATTTTTTTTCCCAATAAGAGACAGTTGATCTTTTACTGTGTGTGATGAAAATATGCAGAAATTTGACCAGAATACATTGCTAGCCCTGAGGAGTGGTTAGAGTTGGAAACAGATTTCAGAAGTTGTTGCCATGCCAGGAAACTTTACAAATACCTAGCAAACTATACATGTCTGACGAAAATAAGCTTTCAATTAAACCAGTGTTAATCATGCTGATGTTAAAAAGCAGAATTTGGTTTTATTTCTACTGTAGAACAAAAACATAAGGATCATAAGATGTATAACTAACAACACACAAGGTCAGAAAAATTACTGAATATGTAGATAGTGATACACTGGGATAAAAAAGATGGTGCTTTAATGACATCAGTGAACTTGGATTAAATAACCTGTTGTAACAAACTGTCAAGGTTGAAGTCCTTATCTTTTTTGGATATTGTTGCTCCAGTGATAATTCTGCTGTTGTAATAAGAAACTGGTACTAGTGTAACATAAAAGGCTTTGAAGCTTTTATTCCATTGCAACATCAGGGCCTGAGGGATATCCAAAGGCAGAAAAAACAGGGTTCACCATGTTTTTTGATTCTTGAAGTAGTTTACTTGTTTCAGTAAGTTTCAGTGTAAAAATTATAAACGAGGGAGTTTGTTCCAGAAACAGTATCTGGTTTTACTTGCTATGGCTTGTGTTCCATAATGAAGTTTATTTGTTTAATGGTATTTCCATGTCTGGTTCTGATTGCTTAATTTCTTGTTTGCTTGGTTTTGGTTTTTTGCAGTACTGCAAAATGATCGCTTCCTGCAGCTGTTAATAACAGATGATGTTGAAACAGCAGTTATAATGATGGCTGTTTTACACAATATTTTGAGGATCAATAGGTCAGTTGTTTTTCATATAATTATTTTTCCGAATTATGAATTTTAAACTCAGTTCATTACCACTGGGTAAAATAAAACTTCTTAATGTACAAGAATTGTTGTGTTTTGTTGTTTTGGATTTTTCCCCCTAGCCTTTGTTGTAGAAATAAAAAAAATAAAATAAAATAAAAAATCTGGCTTTTTTAACTGGTTAAATTGAGGGAATGGGAATTAGTTGATTGAAACAGTAGCACTGCCTGGATCAAGTTGCTGGCCCAGCTAGCTGGGCATATTGGCTTGCTATGTGGCCTGACATATCTAAAAATAATCACTGTTAAAAAGCTCATGCTTTTTAATTAACACTTCTGTCCCCCTCCCCCTTTTTTTCTCCTTTCTTCTTTTTCAAGTTCTGTCTTCCTTCAAGTTGATAAAGTGACCCTTCACTCTATTTTGGATGAGCTTGTTTATAAGCTTTCAGCTACCACCAATCCTGCTGTTGGAAGTGCTGCCACAAAACTGCTGTTGGTGGTGGCAAAATTGAGCAAACAGCTTGTGCAGTTACTCACAGCTCGCTACAAAGGTTTGTAAACATACATGGGACCCATTGCTCAGCCTCCTGCAAGGAGTTAAGTCACTGTAAGAATACAAAGATGGAGGTTTCCCATCTTGGTTCAATAACTATCTAGTACAGGTGGAAACTGCAGTGCTGTGTTGCTTTGGGGGCTTTTTTCCCCTTCTCTTCTGTTCATTTTTGTTGTAGTTTAAGACACTGTGCCTCTTTCTGTTTCCGAGATTTATTTTATTCTGTGGACTCTGCGTGTGGTAACTTGTCTTTTAAAGCTGTTGTTTGTCACTTCCAACTTGATGGGCTTTACTTCTTCCCATTTCCCTGTGCAGGTTGGTTGCTGAGGGATCCCAGTAGCAGGGTGTCTGTACTGCCACAGTCGGAGCCTTGGGTCAGACATCTGCCACTGTGCTTAAGTTTTACTCAAAGGGAATTCTGACCCTGGGTGTTACAGGTCTGCTCATCTGATAGAGGCTGTTCTGTTATTGAGGAACTGACTGCCTTTTGATATCCAAGTAATTGGAATGAATTCTTTCCAAGAATTCACGAAATGAGTTTATCATTTTGTTTAGATGAGGAGGCTGCATATGTGTATAATCTACTCTGTTATTCATTCTTTAATAAGGTGTCCCATTCAGTATTTCTGTCTCTAGCCTGGCAGGGACTTCCAGGAAGCCCTTTTGTCCTCTGTCATGCCTATGGTGACTAAGGAAGAGGCTTTGATGTTTTCCAGGTCTTTTATGTTATTGATCAAAACTACTCACAAGCAACCTCAGTCCTTTGGGGACAAGGACAATAACAAATGGGAATAATAGACAAAAATGTTCAATTCCAGTTTTTTACACTTGTGCTGACTACTTATTAGGCAGTACCAGCCAGGTAGAGTTCTGGACCAGATGGGCAGCTTTGCCACCCTTTTGCTTGAAAGGGGAGGGCTTCCTTTTGGTTTGAAATTAGGTATAGTGAGCCTAAGGCTGGTATCATGTTGTGGGTCCTCGTGAGGCTGTTGTGATGGTCTGGTCATCCCAGCTCTAGAATGCTGGCTTGTCTGAAGAGGTGCAAGCCTTCATCAAAAGATTATGCTTTGTTTTGCTCTAGAATCACAATGTGTCACAGTCATTTAGAAACTCTTCATGTCTCTTCTGTACGTTTCCTCTTTTCACTAAGAAAAAAAAATTGCTTTTTTCCTCTACTTTTTTTAGAAGTTAAAATCCTTATGTTAGTTTTCACTCAAGTTTGGAATCCTTTAGATAGCTTGAGGAATAACAGCAACAAGGAAAGCATCACAGCATTTCCACCATCTGGCCGTCTCGCTGAAGTCACTTGGCTTCACAGTGGCTTGGAGCCATTGCCAATGTGAGGTGCTTCAGTGTAAGCTTTGCCAGTGGAAGCAGCCTGCCCAAGGTGAGGGCATCACCTGAACCCAAGACTAGCACAGTCTTTACATCAGGTTTCCAGGAGGGCCTGGTCTGTTTGTCTGCACAGGTTGACATGTCCGAGAGGCAAACCCCGGGTACTCCCTGTCAGTGGCTGAAAGGTGCATTGACTGTGCAGTCTGTACAGAGACTGGCAAATGGTTGTGTCAGATCCACAGCACTTCTGTGAGGGAGCTGCCTTGTGAAGCCACACTACCTGCTTTTGTAGGGCTCTGACAGCCTTAGGGCACCCACTGACTCCATGTAGAATCTCCCCTGTGTCTCTCCTGAAGTGTTTAACTGTCATCATCTTTCGAAAATCATGCATGGGGTGCCACAGAGGTGCCATTTCTGTTTGCATGGAGGACTTGGTGCTCCATATCCAGATCCTGTAAGTATATATGAGCACTGGAGTTGCCTAGTGTATGAATATGCTTACACTGATTTGAAGATAGAAAAGTTACTTGAATCTGCAGTTCTTCAGGAGGCTATCCAAACATGTGCCTACTTCCTACCCTCCTTCCTCTTCCCTGCAACTCCCCGCAGAGCTCTTAGGCTCTGAGATTTGTCTGATACAAAGCTTTTAGCATGTGTTACTGTCTACTTGCACAGGGAGTGTGTGTGTGTATGTTGTGTGGGGAGCATAAGTGTGATTTTTAGCTACTGCAAACCGAAAAAGCTACTCTGTCTCATAGACTGGATGCACATGTGCTCACAGTTAGACTGTGTTATGCAGATAAGACATCAAACAATTCCAGTTATAAATAAATAAATTTTATCATGAAAAATATGAAAATAGTGCTAATAACACCCTGCACTTTTGTGGTGCTTTACATTCTTTTAGTACCTTACAATGACTTACTGTTAAGACACTAAAAGTACACTGATAATTTAACTGCCTGTTATGTAGACACAATACTTATTCAGACATACAAAATCACTGGATAATACTTCTCTGTGATGGTTGGAGCACCAGATATTCTTTGATGTTATTCTGTGTTGAAACTCAAAGGTGGCTGATGGTGTTCAGCTCTAGTGTTCCTTTGCACATAGAATCAGATTTTGTTTGTTGACTCCAGTTCATTCCTCTGAAATCCTGAAAAGAAAAATTCACCTGCTGGTATCACATGCTGTTTCACTTTCCCTTAGGATTAAAAGGGCTTTTAAATAAACAGTGGACTGGCAAAGGATTTGACAGGGAGCTCAATCAGCTCTTGGACGTGCTGTATTTGGAACAATCCAATGGAAAAGGAGAAATGCAGGTGACAAAGTTTGATTAGATTTTTGTATGTGAAATCCTAGTTTTAAGGGATTTGTATATGTTTAGAATGGATTTGCTTTATCATGTCCACGACACTTTGCAAAGCCTATGTTATTTTTTCACTATGGATTTTTAAATTTCATATTTATTTTTTCTTCCTTTTTTTGAAAATATCAAGAAATTGCTCATTAATAAGATATGGGACTGTAACTCTAGAGACTGACTTTCTGTGTGGATTCACCATAGATTTCAATACAACCGTATGGGAAAAAGAATTAATTCTTTTGCTAATCATAAAATAAAAATAACCGTGTCTGCTTTTCTCACATCAGTGTTACAAATTTAGGTCTCTGAATTCTAGGCAGCATTCACAGAGAATTAAGTCATATAGAGAAAATATGCAGTAAGAGCACCACCTGGGCTGTGTTCCCAATAAAAGGGACGACGCGTGTTTTATGAGCTTCTTAAAAAAACTTTACATGCGGGTTTCTCAGAGACAATACTTTAAAGAAATCAGAGTTGTGTTTGTAGAGATCTGCTTTCATCTTCAACAGAGCAAGGTGTTTTGTGTTTGGGTTAGTTTGTGCGGTTTTTTTTAAAATCCATTTAAGAATAGAATTGATTATTTTTTTTATGTTTGCATTTCAGTGGCTTCTGATTATACTGCAAATGTAACATTTTTCCTGCTGCTAATTCTCTAGACTTGTCTTTCTGTCCTCTCTAGAGCAGGTGTTTTGATTGAATCACCATTTGAAATACCAAGTGCTTCAGGTGTTTTAAAGACAAATTTCTGACATTGATTATATATGTATTTGTGCTGTAGATCCATTTGTTCACCACAGAAAGCGTCGATACAGGTGATCAGATGAGCTGCCTTTGGGGCAAATATGGAGTTCATGATAATAACTGTCTTACAAGACCTTGAATTCCCCAAGCTGTACAAATACTGAATTTGATGCATTTGAAAACTGATGGGGTTTAGCCAAATGTTGAGATTGTCCAATTATGCAAGCAGTAATTAAGTGGTTTTATATGCATAGAAAATATTCTACCAACTGTTTTATTTCAGAAGCAGCATCAAGCAGCTTGTATAATCCAGGCTACGTGGAGGGGATTTCAGACAAGGAAAAGGCTGAAAAAGCTACCCCAAGCAGTGACCACGTTACAGAGAAGCTTCAGGTAAACGCTATGGCTTTGTGAAAAACAGTAAGGAGTAGAGTCTAGTGAAGGTTTGGGTTGGGTTTTCTCAGGTCACAGAGTGACAGGAAAAATTTGGGTCATCTAATCCAATGTCCTGTTTGAAATAGGCCCAGCCTCAAAATCGAATCTCTCTGCTCAGGGCCATATCCAGTTCTGGAGGTCTCCAAGGATGGAGATCCCACCATCTCACTTGGCTGCTCTCCTGGTGCTGGATAATTTGCCTTGTGAAGAATTCTTCCCAGTACAGCCGGTGGGAATTTTCTTGTTGCACTCCTTACCGCTGCCTCTTGCCCTGTTTCTGACCACCTCCATGATCTGGCTGTGTCTGTTCTATAACACTTAGATAGTGGAAGACAGAAATTAGATTTGCCTTCCTTTTGGCTAAATAAACCTCACCTGTCCTTGTATATCCTACCTTCCGTAGCCCTGACTGTCTCTGTCTGGACAGTCTCTATCCCTCCCTTCTGTCAGTATCGTGTCTTCCACTGGGGGTCCCAGTAGAGTGTGACCAGTATTGCAGATATGCCCTCAAGGGTGTTGAGTAAAGCCAAATCATCATCTTTGACCTGCTGCTCTGCTTGTGCTACTGCAGCCCACTATGCCCTGCAAGGGTCTGCTCCTGGCTCGTGTTCAGTCTGTAATCCCACCAGGAACCCCAGGTGCTTTTCATTGGAGCTGCTGCCCAGGTAGTCAGTGCCCAGCCTGTACTGATTCAAGAGGTTACTTTGTACCAGGTGTAGAACTTTCCATTTGAACTTCACGTGGTTTCTGTTGACCCATTTTATGTGTCTGTGGAGGTTTCTCTGAGTGCCAGCCCTGCCCTGCATGGGAGATTGTGATGGCAGCTTTGATAAAGTCAAGGACAATGACATCCAGTGCTCTCCCCTCATCCACAGAGCCAGTCATCTCATCACAGAATGCGATCTAGCTGGTCAAACATGATCTGCCTGTGATAAATCTGTGCTGGCTGTTCTCATTTACCTTCCCCTCCTTTCTGGAAATAGCTTCCTTGAGAGTTTGTTTCCATATCCCAGGCCCTCAGTTTGGGCTGACCAAGTATTCCCTCATCTTGAAGGTGCCTTTTTCCAGTCAGCTGTTATTTCTAAAACATAAATGTAATGTAATGCCAATATGAGCTGTTTCACTACAGATTCTTTTAGCAGAAACATCCAAACAATGTGCTTCTCCAGCAGTACCGAACTCCCACTTCTGGTGCCAAAATCTCCAACTGTCCCTTTCCCAGCTGCCAGACTTCTCCATGAAAAACTTGGTTCTGTGATGCTTTTATGTTTTCTATGTAAAAATTTGTGGCATATGGAAAACTGAAAGTGTGGCACACTGTAGCATGGGATTGCACTAAATAGCACTAGAAATGATGTACTGGTGTAGAACAGTTAACTGATTCACGGTTAACTTGACACAAAATTGCACTGTAAATTATATGTGAAGCTGTCCTGGAATTTCCACATGCCAGAGTGCTACAGAAACAAAAGCCCATAGTGCTTGCTCAGTATGGTGATTGCAAGACCTTGTTCTTCATTAATTTTTGAAATCTTTGACTCTCGGAAGTGGAGTAGCTTCAGTGACCTAGATAGTATCCCCTGCCTTGGAGCAGCACAGAAGAATGAAGCTATGTAAATACTGCTTGTCTCACTTGAAGTAAGATTTCAGCAGTAATGTTAGCACATGTTAGGCTAACTCTTTTGAGAAATTTAGCGTGAATTTAATATAGGTAATGGATCTAAATCAACTTCAGACTCCACAGCAGGGGTTTTTTCAAACTATTTTTGCACTCATTGAGCATTACCATGTCAAAACTATACCTAGAGATGAATGTCAAATTACATTGCATTGTGACCAAGGTGATAGAAAGCAAACATGATTTGTTGTTGTCTAGACTGGCATTAAGAAGATATTGTATTATCTAAGGTGTACTCTTTAACTTCTGGAGGATTTGCAGGGGCACATAGTGTGTTTGTTGAGGGCCACTAGTCACTGCAGCTTTCATACTAAAGAATGACACCTTGTCACTCCCTTTTGCTTCACCATACGCTTCAAGCCAACATTCCTGCTCTCATCAGACACCTTGCAAGCCTGCAAGCCAAACTTGTAGGCCAGGAAATTTGGATGTTGGGCCAAGACATAACATGCTAAAGCAGAAGGGAGAGTGTGACGAGGCTATCAAGCAATCAACAAGTTGCTTGACTCCCTTGTGTCGTATTTTCAATATTGCAAGCGTTAGTGTGTGCCTCTGAAGTAGTTCTTGAATCATTTAAATGGACTTTTGGAAGTGTTTGTTTAATATTGAGAGGAATGGAAACTTATTAATATCCTTAAAGTTGTGTGTTCGTGGCTCAGTCAGTCCCAGTGTACTGAGCAAATACAGTAACTGTGCAGCTCCAGTGTTGGTTTTCTTCTGTCTGGGTCCAAACTGCTGCTAGCATTATGCTGAAAAATAGTGTTTGGAATACTGTAAGCATGACTTGGGAAGAACCTTCAAGAGGACTTTTTAACAGTCAAGGTCTGGTTATATTCACAGATTTATTTTAGAACAAGTGTGGTTAAATACTGCAGAGGCTGAAACTCCAAACTTGGCTCACCTGCAGCTGCAGTGGAAGATCTTAAACTCTGCAAGTTATAAACTTCTGAAACTGTGGTTTCAGAAATGTCTCCCCAGTGAATATTAAAGACTGTAATCTGCCCTTGAAGTTAGTTCATTGTTATATAGCTAATTGGAAGACTCTTAAAATGGCAAGAACTTGTGTTAATTATGCAGGAAAAATTAAACCATTTTATATATAGAGAGAGATGATCTGAGTGAGGCTGATCTGTGCCATGAACTGCTGAAAGAAGCTTGGATCTTATTCTATGTATGTTTTACTTCTGTTCAGAGGCATTTCTCTGTCACAGTGTGGTCTTGTGCAACCAAATGCATCTTTTCAGTAGGAGGAACAGAGAATAAAGAAGCACATGTGTTTTGCAGACTACATGGGGAAGAATCAGTATCAAAGAAACATTTAAATACCTGTCAGACACTATTGGTAGTTTCACAAATGTGCATCTGAAAAGTTCATTAAATATTCGTGTAGTTTTCAACCTACTGAAGCTGGCAAAAATCTATGGGGAAAATAATAATAGTTTTATCAAGAAAATGCCATCAAAAGTTCTATTTGATGCTGTGACTTTATTCACCTTAGAAATGTAATATTTGGATTAAATTGTCACAGTTTTGTGTCTGGGAAAGGAATGGACCAGCTAGGGGTTCATGACTAGTCTGCAGGTGTAGGTTAAAGGCAGCTGTCACCAGCTAAGTCAAAGCCCACTCGCCCTGAGCCCCAAAGGAATGAGACACAGAGACAGTGTGAACTCAGAAACAGCCAAGGCTGATCTAACTTCATTAACAAAATGGAGGGTTTTCATAGGGTAGGTGAAGGAAGGATCTGGAAGATGGGTGGAGTATGAGAGGAGCGTGCAAATCCTGTACATACTATTGGTTAGGTGTAGGGATGAGGTAGACTAGGGGTGTGAACAAGCCATGAGGCAACTGTAGAGGAACTTGATTGGTGGGTACCTCATGGTACAGCAGCCAGTGGGATACTGTTGTTATGCATATCAGGCAATGTCCATAAGAAACTCAAAGGAACATAAGATGGGGCTTTAACCTAATATTAGGTTTACACCTCATGTGATATAACAAAAAGTCTCTTAGGTCGTTGGCTGAGATGTGGCAGACACCTCTCCCTCGCTGACAAAACGATCCCTCCACTCAGTAAACGTTGTTTCTTCTTCAAGCTCATCTCCAACATTAAATCATTCATTTCCTGGATTAAAATGCAAAGATTTACAGCTCTAATTTGCAGAAACGTGTGGGCTGAAAACCTCTAGTTTCCTTGAAACCATTCTGATATAATCACATGTATCATGATCTGTCTCTGTAGGTTGGTGTGTGGGCACTCTTCAAGTCTGTGTTACTGTTGTAGAGAGATTATGGTGTGTCAGGTTGTGGTGGAGGCTTTTCAGTTAGGGTCAGATCTTTAAATCCAGAGCATCCCTTTTACACAACAGCTTCCATCCCATCTTTCCCCACCCAGTTACAGAGACTGAGAGAAGGTATGGTTGGAGAGAAAAATTGCAACTCAGTTTACACTAGTAGTGGGAAACACACAAATACCTCAACAGTAGTGTGAGTCTAAAGACATGACATACAGCAATACCCAAATTGCTGGACATTAATTCTAGTCTACTCACTTTTTTTCTCCTTTCAGGTATCCCTTGTTCCTGGGCTCTATGCATTGGTTTTCTTTCCTAACACTTAAAACGATTCTTTCAATGTCCCTGGAAAAGTGCTCAAGGAGAGCAGAACTCGGGGCTATGGGCCCAGTTGGGGTACTCAGGTCCTGAGTGGGGAAGTGATTTTGCTGCAGCAGGAACAGAGAAGTCACATTATTACCTCGTTCTGGGGTAAACTCTTAAAGTCTTAGGCATTAAGCTGCTGATGAGGTCGGATCCATTGGGATGAGAAGGGGCAGGGAAGGGAGGGGAGTCCTAGCTCACACCTCCTCTTTAATACTTCACTGAGATCCTGTTGAAGTGGTCTCAGTAATTGTTAGTATTGATACATGAATATATCCAGTATTTATATATTAGTCTCTGTTTTGATATGTTAGTATATATATAATTGATGTACATGCTATTTTTAGCTTGAACACTCCAGGGTGAGTTGCAGAGTTTTCAGTTGTCTCATCTGTGAAACATCTGCTGAGGCTTTTGCAGTGCCAGGCACAGCAGGGCAACATCCTAACATCAAATCTAGTACAGATCAGGAAGAATTTGCAAGAAAATTCTTTCCTAGTGTTCTGTTAACAAAGTTGATGGAGAAAATGTCAGTCTGTATTCAGATTTAAGAAGTGAGGCTTGGCAGCCAACATTCTGATCTACTCTTGCAGTCAGTAGAAAAATAATAGTATATATTATGGGAAGCAGGTGCCTTGCATGGTGATGGATGGACTGGAAAAGGTGCATACTGGAGCAGATTGCTAATGTTGCTTTACTTCTTCCCCAGATGAGGGAAACAAAATTGTGTTTCCAGTTTGTGCTGGCTGTGAATGTCCCACATGGAGCATTCTTCCCTTCAGGATCCTTAGAACTTTATCCTAAGTAAAAATTTATCCTTTGATTTCATAGACTGGCTCAGAGTTTTTTGTGGGTGTAAGAGAGTGTGATAATTTGCAGGTGACTTTTTGCTGCTTTATGTGGTTCTGCAGCCAACAGCTGGGGTAGCAGATTATTTTGTGGATTTCCTTTCTCTCTGCTGGACCATTTAACGCAAAGAGAAAGAGAGGTACTTTAAAGAAATGTACAACTTAAGGTAATTGTTAATGTACTTATGTATTGCAGAGCTAAACGGGAACAGGAGCTGCAACACTTAGCAAAACAGAAGGAAGATGAGGCTCTAAAACTGCAAATGCAACTTCAGAGACAGAGGGCCATGAGACTCTTCCATGAACGACAGCTGGCCTTGCTGGAAAGAGTCCATGCCAGTATGATTTATATTAAACTATAGCAGAAGATTAAACTGTCTGGTACTCCTTGGGAACAGTTTCCCCAAATATGTGTCCTAATCTTGCACGTCTGTTTGCGCTGTAGTCTTACTGTCTCTTCTCCTGACCCAATTATCTGAAAGAGAACATGCTAATTCCCCCAGGGCTCAGTAACCACTGATCAAGATCTGCTGCCTTCAGAATGGTGCAGGAGAAAGGGGAGCCTGTTTTCTTGTGTTACAAATCACCATTGCAGTTAGAAGCCTGTGAGACACAGCCCTCACCTAACGGACCTTGGGGAAGAGGGGTTTTTAACTGGGAGCACCCAAGCTGCTTTGGTACTATCTAGCTTGAGGATTAACAATGTAAATTGTTAAGAGATCCTAACCCACAGTCTTGTAACTGGGTTTTTGTTACATTTGTAGGTCAGGTAAATAAATACATGGAGGAAATGGAGGATAAATCAGCATTAACTATCCAGAGATTCTGGCGAGGGTATAGAGCAAGAAGAATTTTTCATCAACAGAAACAATCTCTTAAGGAGTATAAAGCAGCTGTCATCATTCAGAGAACAGTAAGTACATATACTTTGTTCTAGCATTAGATAGGACTGAGTGGATTATTGTGATGCCTCAAAAAACTGTTTATTGTCTTACTGCCAATGTAGCCATAATTTATCAAAAAACTACTCAGGGGATGATGGTCTAGAGCCACAAGTTGCTTAGAAGGGTTAAACCTTGCATAGGTTACAAAGCCTAATACAGTTTGGTAACTTAAAAATAAGAGCTGCTACTTCGAAACCAAAGATTGGAATGTCACCAGGCTACAGATGAGTCAGTGACTTATTATGAGTGTTGTTACTTACTATTTAGTGCTCATGCTGACCTTGTATGTTGTCTTTCCAGCATCATAGCTGCATTTAGGTTGTAACAATGCAGTATGGAAATATTTTTCTTTCACTGATTGATTACCAACAAAGCGAGAAGACAAACTTCTTGTCTGTGATTGTCATATTCTCATATGTTCTTTACAAAGGCTTGTAAATTCTTGGAAAAACGAAGAAGGAGGAGACCCCTCTCTCCTTGGAAAGAACCCAAGGGACTGACTGATGAGCAGAGACTAGCTTTGCAGCAGAAGGTGGATGACTACATCAAATTGCATCCGGTCTGTTTCTTAGTCATTTCATAATTTGGATTAATGATGCAACATAAAATACTCTAGGGATGAAATAAATTCAGCATCATAAATTCTGATCAAGATAATCCATGTGAGGTATGTGTGTGTTAACCCTGCTTGTTTGACTGCAAGGCAGCAGGATATTGGGGATTTTAACCATTAATCTAATAAAAAGTGCCAAAGCGAACTGTAATTGGAAAATTTATACACTTGATGATGGATAACTTTGGAGATAGTTGCAGAGGAAGCAAAATTATTAAGTTAACAATTAAGAACAGCATTTGCATTCCTTGTTTAGGCATTATTCTACCCTCGGAAGACTTAAAATAACCCGCTCCTAATGGTAACAAACTGTTATTTTCCTCCAGGCTTCCCAAATGTCAGAAGAAATGAGTAAAGAATTACACATGCAGGCTCAGGAAAAGCTGGCACAGTTCCTGTTGAGGAGCAGGCTGGATCAGAGAGCAGCGCAGAGGAGAGAGACATTACTGGCTCAGGTCAACACCGATGTGGAGCTGCTAATGAGTACGTGACTGCCTGGGATCATAGTTTTGATTACCATTTGGATTAAACCAATTTAGATAGAAAATTAGAGTGAGCAGTGGTAAAGCCTCATTTCAAAACTGAAATGTCTTTCTTCCTTTGCCATATACCTTATCTTGAGATTCAGGCTTTGTTAAAGATTATCCAAGTGTTGCTGTAGGTTAAGTACACCTGCTTTTCAAGGATCATCTCATTCTTCTACAAGCAGTGGGCCTGTAAAAGGCATTACAATTTCTAAAAAGGGGATCTCACACAACCTATTTCTCCACATGTGTTTTGCTTTGTTCTGTTTTCTTGTGTTGTAAGTAAGCTGCTGGTTGAAGCCCTCTAACCCTTTCCAGATAAAGAGGGAAATCTTTGAGCTATGAATTCTAAATCATGTTTTCATTTTCTCTGGCCTGGCTTTATGTGAAACAGAATTCACTGTCATGATATCTTAATTCCAGATGAGTGGCCCAGAGTGAAGGAGCAAGAGTAGCAAACTGCAGCCACCAGAGAGCACCCAAGCCGGGCAGAATTCAGCAAGTTACTGAATTCCATTATTTAGTCTGTCACATGCTGTGTCACTGCAGCTCATTGCTCTCTGAGCAGGCAAATCAGCAACACACTCTTACACTGTGCTGGTCCCCCAGGCAGGGGATTCTCAGTGCTGCTGTGCCAGAGCAGTGGAAACACTCTGTTGATGTCACCCTGTGCCAGGAGCACTGATCCAGCGGATCCTCTTAGGTCATACTTACGCAAGAAGTCATTTTGGTGGATGCCACCACCGCATCTGAAAGAAGTAGTCCTGCTTTCCCCCTTCTTTCTATCCCATTGTGTATTTATTTTTTCAGATTAGCCTTTATTTGGATTGCCTCTCCAATTACATTTATCACACAGTCATAAAATTGCAATGCCAGCATGGGGAAAGGGACAACCTAGGACAGTGGGAAGTGGGAGGGTAGTGCTCCTTTTTTTGTTTGAAATACTCATAAAGCCACAAACAAAATACAGAAAACTCTTCTTCTTGTTTTTACAGATGCTCCGGGATTAGCAGAGACCACAGAAAAAGATATTGGTGTCTTTGTGAGTCGGTCAGTCCCTGTAGCTACCAAGGCAAGACAATCCCACAACACTATGCTGAAATACACTCACTGGCCATGGTGGAAGAAGCTTGGAGATGAGTTTATGGAGGATGATACACTTCCTGATGAGGCCCTAAATACAGAACTGGAAACTCTCTTTATTGGTGGAAGAAAATCCTTAAAGTAAAAAGCAGAAGAATTCCATATTCAGCCAGACTCATACCTTGCACTATGCACTTACTTTTTTGTATTTTTAAGGAAGGAAAACATTTGAAAAAGACTAAAAAATACCAAAGCCTCATTTTAGTATATTTTACTTGGATTCTTGGAAAGAATCCCTTCCTGTACATCAACAGTTGGATCCTATTGATCTGGTTGCAAATAGGATTTAAATACTGTAGTTGTAAATGAGGATATTTTGTGATTTGTATCACTTTAAAGGTAAGTTCATAACCTTTGTCTTTTCAATTCTTATTCACACTGGGATGCATAAAAAATCAAACCTGGGCTTTTATAGCAAAATATTTTTATCAGGTGATGTGCTTTGAAATAAAGATGGGTTCAGAACAAAACAAGAAAGCAATACAAAATCAAACAAACAATAAACAGTCTGGGTGCTTTCTCTGTATTCCTCCCAGGCTACCTCTCCTTGCTTCCACCTTCTTGTAAGCTCCCTCTTGTTTGAGTTTGTGCAGAAGTTTCATTTTCATCCATGAAGGCCTCATGGTGTTTTTATCTGACTTGCTTTTTGTTGGGATGTATTGCCCCTGAGCTTGGAGAAGAAGGTGATCCTTTAATATTAACCAGCTTTCTTGGGCCCATCTTCCCTCCAGGGCTTTATTCCATGGTACTCTACCAAGCAGGTCCCTCCAGAGGTCAGTCTGCTCTCCTGAAGTCCAGGGTAGTGAGCTTGCTGTGCACCCCATTGCCAGCCTTAGGGTCTTGAACTCCACCATTTCATGGTCACTGCAGCCAAGGCAGCCCTTGAGCTTCACATTCCTCACCAGCTCCTCCCTGGTGGTGAGAACAAGCTACAGAACTGCACCTCTCCTTGTTGTCTCCTCTGTCTCTTGGAGAAGGAAGTTATCATCAGTGCATTTGGGAACCTCCTGGATTGCTTGTTCCTTGCTGTGTTGTCCCTCTAACAGGTATCGGGGTGGTTTAAGTACCCCATGAGGACCAGGGCTTGTGAATGTGAGACTGTTCCTTTCTGTCTGTAGAGGGCTTCACCAGCTTGGTTTTCCTGTTGGGGCAGCCTATAGCAGACCACCACTATAATGTCACCACTCCCTGCACTCCCTTTAATCCTGACCCGTAAACTCTGTCAGCTCCTCATCCATCTCCAGAGCAAGCTCCATGTACTCCAGTTGGTCACTGACATAGAAGGCAACAACCTCACCTCATCTCCCCTGCCTGTCCTTCCTAGAGAGCCTTTGTCCTTCCATTCCAAGAGCCCAGTCAGAGAAGCCATCCCTCTCTTCTCTGTGATGTCAATAAGGTCACAGCCCTACAGGTGTGTATATCTCTCTAACTCCTCTTGTTTATTCCCCATGCTGTGTGCATTTGCACAGGGACATTGAAGTTGGGTCCCTGGTGAGACTTGACTCACTGGCTGGAGTGGCTGCAATTCCTTTGTGCTGCTCTTCAGGTGCTCTTCTGCACACTTGTGCTCCCTATCCAGACTCTAGGCTTCTCTTGCTGGCTCTGGCATCAAACTGGAACAAGTGGGATGGATGGAGGTTCCTCTCCCCTGGCAACTGTAGTTTAAAGCCCTCTTCACCAGCTGGGCAAGCCTGTGACTGAAGATGCTCTGCCCGATGGACCCATGAGCCCCCAGCAGCCCAGGTTCCTTGAGACTAATAGGTCATCAGTGCTCCCTTGGGCTGCTTTTCTCCTTTAAAAGCCTGCAGTTCTTCCCACAGCCAGTGCAGTGCACGGGAGCATGGGCACAGTCCAAACTCCTACGTGGGATTGTAGCCTCAGTGTGACCATCTGGACCATCAGCTCTGTCTTCTTAAACCATGCAGAAGTTGTTTAATCCAGAAAGGTCTCCAGCCCAGGGCCTCTGCAGTCACTGTGGCCCAGAAGACAGTAAACACCTCCAGTCAGGGGCTGAAGGATCCTGCCCAGAACAAGAACTTGAGACTGCACTAGTGCCACAGGTACCTGTGCTATTTTTTAGGTGAAAGGCCCAGAGAGCCTTAAAAATTAGATCTTACCTCACTGCAGAGGAGGAAAAAGTGCAGTGATTTCTGCTGGTTGTATGTGGGCAGCAATATTGTTTCAGCATGTTTGTTTTCCATTCTCTCCAGAAGGCTTTGAGTTTTAGTTTTAGTGGAGATGAATGGAAAACAAATAAATAGAAATAGTGGGAGGAAGCCCAAGCCCATTCAGTTGCAGCTGATACGTTGAAATTAATAACTGGATAGCTGCCAGGAGGAAGAGCTGGGCTCTGTTAATTATTTTAAAAGAACTGTGATTTGGAATGCATTTGAATTGGCTCACAATTCCTTTTTTGGAGAGTTAACTGGTGGAACAATCCATTAGGTATTTGCTAGGGCACTTGCATGTGTCTGTTGAGTTATATTTTGTTCTGCACAGCTCTGCTGTTAGTTTTAAGCTGTGCCTATGACAGGTCAGGTGCCCCATAACCACCAGAGCAGAGGGTCTGCAGGCAGTCACCGAGCGCTCCAGGGGATGGAAACTGTCCCCCAGCAGCTGCCAAGCTCTGGCACTGGAAAAGGCCCAGCATCTCTGGATGGATGCACTGCAGCAGGCCAGCTGTTCCATCCTAAATACCTCAGTCCTCTGTATACATCATCATGCCCTCTGCCCCAAACTATTTTGACAGCAGCCTCTGCTGTTATCTTTATTCCTAATCACCTCATTCTAACAGCTCCTTAGAGCAGGGAGATGGTCACAAAGGGGCATCGCTGAATGTATCTTACAAAAAGAGCTGACCCCCCCTCCTCCATGGCCAGTGTTAGATACCAAGTGAATTAGAGAGCCATCTTACCAAAAAGCCATTTATTGTAATGGCCTCTGCCACTCACTGCCACTGGAGAGGATAATGAAGTCCCCCTTTGGAATATGGAGTTTGCTAGAAAATTGAGGGTTTTAAGCAAACAGAGAGCCTAGTAGAAGGTGCTGTCTTGCTGGAGGAAATAAAGTTGCTGGTCCAGTAACATGAATTCCTCTGCCCTACCACTGCCCTGACAAAAATGCCTTATTTTACTTTGTGCTTGTCACCAGGATATTGCAGTCACCTCCACTTTACAGACCAGGGAAACTGAGGCACGAGAGCCATGAGGGAACGTTCCTATGGCCGTATGTAACTGTATAACCTGTCACTTGTTCCTGTTACTGTTCCAGGCAGAGCAAGCCAGAAAGGAGCCACTAAATGCCGAGGCAGAGCTGGGAGATGTTCTCAAATGCCAGTTGCTGTGGCCAGCTTGGAGCCTGGGCCCAGAAAAAGAGACCTCCAGGCTCCCTTGCGGGGAGGGATTTGGCATAGCTTAACTCATCGTCTTTTCGAGTCCTGCACTGTGTGCACCAGGACATGTTGCTGGCATTTTATTTCACTGCAGCTCTTTCTGGAATAAAGTACGCCTGAATAATAGGAACAGCTGAACAGAAGCCATCTCCAGCTTGCTACCAGGTGAACAATCCTCTCTGAGTTATACAGTCACCCAAAAAAAAGACTGTAGGAGAGGCTGTGAGCTGAGATGGGACCAGTCCTGCTCCCACTTCCCTGTGTGCCACAGGCATGCCCAGAAAGCTTGGAGCTGTTACTTGGGCATAAACATGCAGCATGGGTGGTCAAGCCAGGTAGGAGAAAGGGGCAGAGTTTGGTTGTGCCCAGCAGCTCTGGGCTGTGTCCCGTTGGGAAGTGAGCAGGCCTTACCCAGCAGGCTGAAGACAGACCCTGGTCACCCAGGGGAAGGGTGGGGGTGCCCTCCACACCAGTGGAGTGACACACCTGAGGGCACCTGTGACAAGGGGAGGGGCAGAGGTGGAGCTGGAGCTGCTCAGGCAGTGGTCACTCTGGTCCTTAAATATTGATGCCATCTCAGCTGGCCTGTGAGGGCGATTCAGCTGAATTGTGGGTTTCTGTTGCTGTGACAAATTGGACCAATTTGTCATATGGCTTTGTTTCTTCCCTCAAGTAAAGCTATACAGGAGTGTTATTGCTTCAGCTTCAGCAGCAGCAGACAATCTGGAAAACAAAATCCTCTGGTGGATATGGATAAAATGGAAGGGACGGTGACTGTTCTTCTGCCAAAGGTGCCACCAAAGTCATGGAGCTGGAAGAAGGCAGCAAAGGAACAAAATAAACAAACAAAGAATTACTCAGCCCTTTCAGAGACAGAGACAAGGCAGTGTCCTCTGCTGGCTCCTGAAATTGAGGAAAATTCCTGTTTATGCAGACAGATTTTTTTTTCAGCTGTAGCTGTAACTGGACTCTGAAAACAACAGGATGCTCATCTCCAGCAGAGACACAGGCATGCGCTCAAGACTGTGCTGCTGAGTCCAAGGGCGTCTCCTGGCCTTTCAGACTGGCTGTAACAGGAGCTCTGAGCTGAGGACAGGAGATAACCCTGATGCTATTTCACCCTTTGCCTCTGATCCTTCTATGGCCGATTTCCATGGGAGCAGAATCTGGTACAAGCATCTGCTCTCCACTGCAGAGTATCACGTATATCGAGTACAGGGAGAAATGAAAGCTTTCTCCTAGTAGCAGAATCGGGGCTATTTATAAATTATCCTTCATCATAAAAGGAGGCAGCTCTTTGCAGGGGGAGCTGCAAAGACCATTGCAAAACAGGCCTCCAAGTTCTTCTTATCCTTCTTTACAGCACAATAGCACCAGGTCATCCTCCAGGCATCCTTGTGTACAGTGAAGAACCCTTTAATAAAGAGATTGTTTACTACATGAGTGATATAAGGGCCAGACTGACCAAGGGGAACTGAAGGACAGTTGCCTCCCATCCCTTCTCCGCTGCTCTCCCTGAAGGTAGGGCTGGGTTTACTCCAGATGCTGTCTTGGGACAGAATGACAAAGTCTGGCAGGTGAGGACCAAGGTCAGGACATCGCAGCTCTGGCAATTTTTCCCAGTTGTGCTGGAGAACTCCTCTGTGACCTTGAGCACACATTGTTTCTCTCTTTTCCTCTCGCAGATGAGGCTTATTGTTGCATTTGTAATTTAAGAGCCTTCAGTGGAGGATGCTGTGAGACCAGTACCACTGAAATCTCTGAATGGGAGGTACTAAGCTGAAATGGGAGTTTGACAGGCCCTGGAAAGAAAAAATACTTGTATAATCAGATGTTGAGCACATAGAAAGAGCTCAAGGTTGCCATGCTATTTATTTCTCTCCACATTCAACTTTTCTCTGCAGAATTTAGTTCTTCTCCACTTACATCCTCAAACAGAAGCAATGTCTTTACCTGGGCTGGATCTCTTAATAAAACCTATGAACACAAGCAATTCTGATCTCCTTTTAACATGTCTCACCAAAGCAGAACCTGCCTGTTCAGAATGACATGAACACACACACACATATGTACAAGCTGGATAACAAGACCCAGCTCACTCTAGCATCACGAGATAGAGCCAGTGAACTGCAGCACTTAATCCTAGAAACAGTCAAAGCAACCATTAATTTGCTGAGTCCTTACTGACTGAAAGGGAGGAGGCGTTGAAGCTGTCACTGTCACCCGTATAATGAATGGTCAATTAAAATAGTTGCAAATGCAGGGTACAACTCATTCCTGTGCCCAGGAACAGGGATAAACGGAGGCATTACCACTGCCTTGGCTTTATTCTCAGAGCAGCTCCCCTGTTTCCTGCGAGACTGCCCGTCACGTGTGAGAGCCTGTGGAGGCTGATGCAGAAAGATAGCCAGGAAAGTCACCAGAGCCGTGCGCGCTGCAGGACAAAAGAACGCGCGATCTGTGACCGGAGATAGGGACTCCCGAGGTGGCCAGTCTAAGGAAAAGCTACGGGACATGGAAAATGAGGGATCTCAAGCACTGTAAGAAGAAGCCGGGGGCTCACCCAAGCCCAGCTCGGAACTGCCCGGCACGCTGGGGAAGGAGGGGCGCAGGGCTGGGGAGGAGGGCGGGCGCCCAGAGCCGAGCGCCCTAAAGCCGAGCCTGCGGGGCCGCCTCCTCCCGGCACCGCGGGAACCCCCAGCCCCGTCCCCTCAGCACCACCCGCACCCGGGGACCCCCGCTCGGTCCCCTCAGCACCGCCCGCCCCCGGCACCCGGGGACCCCCGCTCGGTCCCCTCAGCCCCTTCTCGGGGCGGGGCCCGGGCCGGTGCCTCTCGCGAGCCGCGCCCGCCGTTGCCGTGGCGACGGGCTAAGCCGGGCCCGGGCGCGGAGGGGCCGGGCCGGAGCCGACCCGCGGCTCGGCGCTGCCGGGGCGGGCATGCACAACAAAGGCGGCAGGCGACGCGTCCCGGGCGGGCTCCGCAGGTAGGTGGGTGCGGGCGGGCAGGTCCCTCTCGGCAGCCGCTCTCGCAGGACGTGTCCCCACCGCCGCGCTGTGAGGGGAGAGCGAGCGCGGGGCGAGGTCCATCCTCAGCCCCGGCCCCGCCGCACCTTGCGGGCGCGGGGGCTGCAACAAAGGCAAATGGCTGCGGTGCGGGAGGGCTGCGGGGCCGGCGGGGGCCTCCTGCCCCCCGCCCGGGGCGGCTCACGGGGGGCTTTATGGTTCATCTGTGCGCTGGGTCTCATTCCCCGGGGCCGGCGGGGCCGCTCGGGTCGCACCGGCAGCTCCGCGCCCAGCGCGGGCAGCAGGAGCGGGGAGGACAGAGGCGCTTCCCCGACCCTTTCACCCTCCCCAGGCGGACACCTGCTCGACTGGGGGGTCCCGCACGCTGCCCCCGCACCCCGCAGTCCTCGCTCCTCGCCCACAGCGGCGGCTCCGCCGGCTCAGAGACAGCCCTAGCGCTGGGTCCGGGCGAGCCCGAGCACTCTTCCCGCGTCCTAAAACTGCACCCGCAGGCACAGACAGCTTTGCAACCGGCAGGATAGAGCCTTTGAGGTGCCTGGGGGTTTTTATTTTGCTGTGCAAGGTGGGGTATCGTGTGCTGGGCACGATACTAGCCTGAGTCCAGTCGCTGTGAGGGGTGGCTGGGCAGCACCAAGCTCTTTACATCTGCAGGGTCCGAGTGAGTCATTTCTTAATTCGTTTCCATGTGATTCATTAGGCTTTCAACTCCAGGATGGATTTTCCTGAATTCGTAATAGGTTTTGATACCTGAGGTGTTAGCAAGGGCATCTGTTTGAATCCGTAGAGGTAGAAGTTTTACTGCATTATTGAAAACAGAATTCCCTGGAGGAAAATCTATAAAACCTACTCCTACCATTTTCATTTACACTGCAGCACAGCAGTGCTGGGCGCATCTACACTTTTGCCTTCCCTCATTTTCCAGTCATTGTGGCACTGAAAAGCATTTTAAGCAACTCTGTGTTGTTTGTTGGTATTATAGTAAGGCCTGAGGGCTTGGTAATGGTTTTTTTCACTCTCAAAATGCTTCACAGACATCAATTAAGACTGGGAGCACTGGTGCAAGTCAGGAAGGTTTTATTGATCCCATTTTACAGATGACAGAGCAGATCACAGACCTAGAAAGATTTAAATCAAATCCAGAGCCTAAGCCATCATCTCACAGATCCTCTGTTTAAGGTGCTCTTCTCCGCCTCCTTTAACAAAATTCTCTCCTAATTTTACTGGCTGTTCCAGGAGCTGTCTTGGGCACTGTCAGGACATATGCTCTGGCATTTTGAGATACTGCTCTTGCATATTGCTGAAAATTATGTGTCTTTGGTGCCATACTGTTGAGGAAGAATGGTTTCTGGTTAAAACAGGTCTCTCTTCTTTGGTTTGTACTGAGGTAGAACCCAAGAGCTCCATCATGGACAAGTTTGCATCAGGCAAGGCACTCTGCAGCCAGTCAGCAAAGCGTGCACAGAGCTGATGAGCCAAATACAGAAAGCCTGGGTGTCTGCTGTGATTTCTTTGATAGCCTCCCTCAGAAAGAGAGATGGTCTCTCCTCACTAAGACTCTCGAAAGAGCATATTTCCAAAAGCAAAATAAGTGGTTCCCGTTGTGACTGTAACTGTGAAGACTCCCCATCCTAGCCTGTTAGCCTGGTTTTGAGTTTGTCCACTTGCTTTCATGGCCCAGACAGGAGGTGGGCTGTGTTTAAGATGTGGTTCACATCCTTAGGCATTGCTTATGTTGATCTCCTTTAAGGCCTTTAACCAGAGAACCCCAGCTGCAGTCTCAGATTTAAGGCTTGCCCTTAAGAGAGCGCTGCACAAGACAGCATTAGCTCCAAAGCATTTATAAAGTTTTAAGCTTCTTAAACTTCCTCTGTGTAAGAAAAGCCTACTGCAGACTAGGTGATGATGTATAGCCCCCGGTAGCTGCAGAGGAAAGGGGCAGATGGAATGCTTTTAGGGCTTTTCTGAGTTTAATATTCATTTGTTGCTTGCTGAGTCTGACTTAGTCTAAAAAGGTGATCTGGAAATCCTGGCTTCTAAATATTTAAGTTTCAAGGAGATCAAGTTCCACTTTTATTACACACACCCCCCCCCCCAACCATACAACTACCCCCAACCTCAAACACCTGGTGCTGCAGGTGCAAGAAGCATTGTTGATTACTGGCAGGCAAAATACTGTATTGCAGTTTGTTTCCTTTGCAGTGTTTCAGAGGACAGTTCTTTTAGAGAGGCAGCAAGTGTAGCTCCAGGGCCTCCATGGCTGGGCATCAGCCAATTACTGTCATATCAGATTAGCTCTATGGCACATCAGCACTCATTTATGTTAATGCAAATGCAACATGACTGTTCCATAGTATTGATGGAATTATTGTGTTTACAGCCATAAAACATGACTAATTGAAAGGGAGGTTCTGATTATAAAACCATGGACTTCCAAGGTGATTCCTGCTACAGCTTCTGAATGGACCAGTTTGGAATCACGAAGAATAAATGAACTGCTAAAAGACATAATCCAGTTTTTATTTTCCATTGATGCAGTTATCCTTTCAGCAAGCTCTAGGGGAAAAAAAAATCCTAAAAAAAGAAACAGGAAGAACTTAATAGGTTTTTTCCCACCTTGCCATGATCCTGATGCAATACAGCCCGTGCTACTGTAGCTGCTTCCTGGCCCACGAGAAGAGCTCTAACCTGCCTGTGCCCTGCAGGAATCCAGCCCTTGAAACCAGCATGGAGATTTCCTCAGCTGCCACTGCAGTGCAGGAGCACATTCTCCTTGTCCAGAGCAGCTTGGCAGCAGCAGCCGTGGGTGTTTGTGAGATGAGGAGGCATCACATGCAGCACTCCATAGCCAGGATTGGAAACTGTACACAGTTTGATGACTTTCCTGCTCCCATGTCACCCACTGACATTCAAAGGATACACCCATTTATCTCTGGGAATAAACTAGGCACCTCTAGCCAAGAAACCTCAAGTTCTGCAGTCCCTGCTTCGTAATTATCCCAGCCTCAGCTTCCATCTGCCTTGCAGTTTGCAGTGGCCCTAACAGCTGGTTCCTGGCAGCCATTATCGCCTTCCAGCACAGGAACAGCTTTAGCTCCGAGTCCTGGGAGGATGGACACGGCTGGCAGGATCAGTGATATCAGGAAAAATAACAGAGGAGGTAGAAAACTGGTGCATGGGCACAGAGAGGGAAGGTAGACTGAGAACATATGTGACAGTGAGGGGAAAATGAAGTGACAGGTGGGAGGCCCTGCAAATCCCGAGACTTTGTGGGAGTCGCGGATGAGGAGGGAGGCAGGGAGCTCTGCAGCTTGTAGGAGCAGGGCGAGGGATCTCCTCAGCTGCTGGGGGTGGATTGCATTACTGCTGCCAGCCTGCAGCCCACTGCCCAGGCTTCAGAGCTGTTCAGCCAGCCCGAGCAATGCACAGGGCCATGCAGCATTTGTTATTTTCCAAACATCCCACTGTAAATTACAGCAACAAAGCGTGAGTACTCCGGGAACAGCACAGGAGTGCTGGGCTCAGTAGCCTTGTCCAGAGTGCCATCCCTGCTAGGGGAGGGCCCTGGGAAAACCCGTGGCACCACAGCAGGCACCAGCATCAGTTATATGAGGAGGAGCGGTTTGCTGCTCAAGGACAGCAAGGACAGTGGAAAGTCTGTGATTTCAGGAATTAGTTATGGAAAGCTGGGACCCTCAGGCTGAGGTAATAAGAATAGCTGAAGAATTAGGCAATTCCCATATTCATGAGCTGACAGACTGCAGTCCCTTTGCCAAGGCTGTGTTAAATACACTGAGGGGCAAAGGAGTTTTCTGGCTTTGCTAACAGCTGCTTCAAGGTGAAGCACAAGGGGAAAATGTAGAAAAAAATCTCCACTGTCTGCTGATATTCATTTTGCCATGAAACATCTCAGGACCTGGAACAACCCAGGGTCCTC